CGATGTTCTCACCAATACCAACGCCATATGCCTCAGAGGCCCTTACTACATACACACCCAAAAGCTTGAGCTTTCCTATCTTTCGTATATAGACTTTGGCAGAGCTCCTGACCAAAACATCAGTTCTTCCCAAGAGTATAAGTTACACTTCAAAGTTTTCTACAGTCGACAGGTTAAGCAAACAAGATAAATGAGAATCTTAAATATAAAAATGACAATAATTTCAATACACTCATCGGATTCTCTGAGATCAGTAAATCAAGGAAATACAATTTCAGTTTTGACCTGTCGTATCATTCTCTTATGAACACTAGGGGCTGCATACTCAAAATGCCCCATCAGTTACGTACAGTAGCAGACATACGGTACCATAACTTACAGACTGCTTACAGTCCCGCAAATTTCTCACACTCAAAATTTAATTACGGGTATGTAAGAAGTCTGTAACTCAAGTGTTTACACTGTAAATCAGTTCTCTTGTCCGAGTAGATGGCAGTGCATGAGCTAGTTGGCCAATCGTCGCTCAGTTAATAAAATCATCAGCCAATCACAAGAGAAGGATAAATCAGCTGAGATCAATGCACGTGATAGTAGTTTGTTTATACACAAAAGATAGAAGGACCAACTGCAAAAACGAGGCGACCAATTTTCAGCGAGGATGAAGTACTCATGGTGTGTGAAATCACCAAAAGAAAATAATCTTAGGGAAGTTGGACTCGAGATGTACAGTCAAACTGAAAAATCATGCCCCCAAGTATATATATATATGTATATATATATATGTATATATATAAATATACATATATATATATATATATATATATATATATATATATATATATATATATATATATATATATATATATATATATATATATATATATTCGTTTTCTTCAATCAAGTTATCACCAACTAGACAAAGGATTTAATCATCTTCATACTCGAGAATTTTTAGTTCAGTGTTCTTTAATTAACCTCTTGTCTTCCATTCACACACATACAGTACATACATACATACGCGTGTGCGAGCGCACACACACACCTTGGGGTCCATTCCACCCTACATAAGTAAACTTGAGTGGCTCTCAATATTTCGCTCAGTAGAACTCTGTGATTTCCTGAGGATAACTCTTAAGAGAAAAAAATCAATCAATAGGCTTATAGATATGAAAATTAGACATAAAACCCATTTAATTTTATATACAACTCAAAGATATGAAGGAAGGGAAAATGGAGAGGAGAGGGAGCTCTGTCTATACTTCGGTAGGAGGCGCGAGCTTCCTCACATGACCCGTCACTTAAATACTCTAACTTACTTAATTTAGTAACCCAATGGAAAAACACCGTGACATTAATAAGCATATACTTACTCTTTTAAGTGTCTGGGTAGCTCCTCTTGTGCTGCTTTGGCTGTGTGAGGGAGTTGGTCGAGTTGGCTGGCGTTGAATGAGGCAGCACTCTCACCCCAGGCCTTCTTTTCCGCATTTATTGTGTTGCTAGTAGACCTGCTATGCGCTGGGCACCGATGCTTGGTCAAGGTCACCATTGCTAAGGCTAAACACGCTCGTTGGGACGGACGGCGTGTGTGGGGGCGCGCCCAAACATTTTGGGCTGCCCACCACCCAACCGGAGGTGGCGACGTGTGCGCCCAGAGAAGCATGCGCCGACGAGTCGGCATGCCGCCATTATCTGGTGAAGTTTGAGTGGGGGCAGTATATTCATCAAATGTTAACGCAGGTGTCCCAAGACTAGCTCAACTCTTTATCATTTGTGGGGACATGGCCTGCTTAGTGAGCGCCAGCGTCGCCCAACGACTATTTCTTGCTTTTTCACGGGTGGGACCCGCATTCATCAATTGTTAGGGTGAGGATAGAATGGGTCACCTTGTCGTTTCTGAGTTTGTGGCAAGAACCATTTTAGCTGGCTTGCTCGGAGTACCAGAATGACATGCACCCGTCATGTTGAACCCACGAGCTGTTATCGCATTGACTGGTGGAATAAATCTCGGTCAAGACACGATGAGCCACTGCATTGAAGGCCGCAGCATATGCCGTGACGGAACTGTACGCCACGCGTACGCCCAGAGAAAAAACTGCTGAACGTGCCTGCCCAGAGAAGCGTGGCGACGTGCGCGCCCAGAGCAGGCCGCGGGCGACGTGCGCCGCCCAGTGAAGCGTGGCGACGCGCTGCCCAGAGAAGGGTGGCGACGCGGCGCGCCCAGAGAAGCGCGGGCGACGCGCGCCAGCCCAGAGAAGCGCATACGTGCGCCCAGAGAAGGTGGCGATGCGCGCCCAGAGAGAAGCGTGGCATGCGCGCCGCCCAGAGAAGCGTGGGCGACGCGGGCGCCACGCAGAGAAGCGTGGGCGACGGCGCGCCCAGAGTAGCGTGGCGCGACGCGCTACCAGAGAAGCGCGTGGCGACGTGCGCTGAGAGACCAAAGCGTGTGGAGGCTTTATTTCATGGACTAACAGAGCCACCATCAGACGATTTTCAGCTCGGCCTGAGGCAATCGTTGAAGCTGTCCCACTGAACATTACTGAGCCTGGCTGGCGATGAGCAGTACCAGTTCTGGCAGACCCTCTAACCAACCACCTCTGACCATCATGCCATACAGAACACATGGGTTGAGACCCTGGGGGTCTCAACCCGCAAATGCCGCTGGGCTGGCGTACAGAGGCAGCTGGTTGAGGATCTGCCCAGGACGCACCAGGCGTCCGTTGCCCCCATCCGCCTTCAGGCTCAGTGAGCCCATTCTGACTCCACACACGCTTAGGACTCCATGGTCCGTGAAACCCGAGGTGGGTCGGGTGGATCAACGACCGTGACGTCGCGAGCTTAACCCCCACAGTCGAGGTGTGGAGGCGGCAGCTCTTTCTACGTAATGTCGAGGACAGCCAGGATGCTGGCGGTTGCCCCGTCGTGCGAACTCCCCGTCCCCCCACTCAGACG